CTGGAGGAGGGTCCCTGGCCAGGCGGGGGGCCCCGGCCTTTTCCCTGGGCTGTGGGGGCGGGGAGGGCCAGCCTGGAATGAGGGTGTCCCACCGGAGGGACACCTTCAGACCACAGTGGCGGCCGGCACGCCCTCCATTCGGCCCAGGCCTTCTTTCTTAGGGTCCCCGTTCTCGACCGCCCACCCCGAGCGCTCTCGGCCGCCTGGGGTAGTGGGGAGGACCGCGGAGGGTGCCCGAGGCCGGCGCCTTTAAGAAGGGGCGGTTCGTGCCCTCCATTCAGGCCTTTCGGCCTCGGCCATTGATGAACCTACGGGCTGCGCGGGGCCCGGAACCGCGCCAGCCCGTCGACCGAGGCGGGCGGGGGCAGGGACCCCACGAAGTGAGGTCTTCAGGGGGAGACGTGCACAGGGACTGGCCCCTGGGGAGCTGCGCGGGGGGTGGGGGTGGGGGGACCGGGCATCCTCAGGAGTGACTGTGAACATGTTAAACCAGAATCTGTGTTGACGCCGAGCTGGTGCAGGGGAGAGCCCCTGGGTCTGGAGTCAAATCTGGGTGGAACCCTACCAGGGACCCCACGAAGTGAGGTCTTCAGGGGGAGACGTGCACAGGGACTGGCCCCTGGGGAGCTGCGCGGGGGGTGGGGGTGGGGGGACCGGGCATCCTCAGGAGTGACTGTGAACATGTTAAACCAGAATCTGTGTTGACGCCGAGCTGGTGCAGGGGAGAGCCCCTGGGTCTGGAGTCAAATCTGGGTGGAACCCTACCCCTGCCCTTTGAGCCTCCATTATCTACCCTGTAGAACGGGAATGGTGCTGCCTGCATCCCCGCTGGGTGACCTGCAAGAATTGCCCCCTGCAACCCAGGTCCCGAGTATGAGGTGAATGAGCACCCTGCCAGGGCAGGAGGAGCAGGGGTGGTTATCCTAACAGGCTTTGGCTGGCTCGGTCGGGGTTGTGATATGAACCCCCTCCTACTCTGCCCGCCACTTTGAACAAATCTCTTCCCTCCCAGCCCCCCTGCTCCATCCAGAAGGCCGTTGGTTGGGGACTGACCTAGAACCTTTCAGCTCTAGGAAGTTTGAGAGCGGCCAGGCAGTGTGGGAGGCTGGTGTGGGTCAGAGCATTTGTTAGGGTCTCAGGCAGTTTCCCACAAGCTGCTTTCTTCTACTCCTCTCACCTGGGGCGTGAATGATGGTGGGCAAGAGTTCCGGAGCCGGCTGGTTGAATAGCTCTAAGTAATGGAGAGTTCATGCATGTCTTCTTATCCTTATGGTGGAAAACCTATCTAACGTTTCTAAACCCTCCTCCCTGTTTAGTGGGTCTCCCTGCACTCACACCCAAAGGTGGGCTTTTCTAGGGAGTGTTGGAGGGAAGATACCCCCCTCCTCTTGCCAGGTGGAACCTGGGCACCCCCAAGGCTGAGCATTTGGTTTCAAGATGACTCCTGCCTGGCTAAGGGCACCATGCTGTTTCT